AAAAGACAAGAACAGTAACAGAAGCTACACAACTAGCTAAGACAAGAACAGTAACAGAAGCTACACAACTAGCAAAAGACAAGAACAGTAACAGAAGCTACACAACTAGCAAAAGACAAGAACAGTAACAGAAGCTACACAACTAGCAAAAGACAAGAACAGTAAAAGAAGCTACACAACTAGCAAAAGACAAGAACAGTAACAGAAGCTACACAACTAGCAAAAGATAAGAACAGTAACAGAAGCTACACAACTAGCAAAAGACAAGAACAGTAACAGAAGCTACACAACTAGCAAAAGACAAGAACAGTAACAGAAGCTACACAACTAGCAAAAGACAAGAACAGTAACAGAAGCTACACAACTAGCAAAAGACAAGAACAGTAACAGAAGCTACACAACTAGCAAAAGACAAGAACAGTAAAAGAAGCTACACAACTAGCAAAAGACAAGAACAGTAACAGAAGCTACACAACTAGCAAAAGATAAGAACAGTAACAGAAGCTACACAACTAGCAAAAGACAAGAATAGTAACAGAAGCTACACAACTAGCAAAAGACAAGAACAGTAACAGAAGCTACACAACTAGCTAAGACAGGAACAGTAACAGAAGCTACACAACAAGCTAAGACAAGAACAGTAACAGAAGCTACACAACTAGCTAAGACAAGAACAGTAACAGAAGCTACACAACTAGTAAAAGACAAGAACAGTAACAGAAGCTACACAACTAGCTAAGACAAGAACAGTAACATAAGCTACACAACTAGCTAAGACAAGAACAGTAACAGAAGCTACACAACTAGCAAAAGATAAGAACAGTAACAGAAGCTACACAACTAGCTAAGACAAGAACAGTAACAGAAGCTACACAACTAGCAAAAGACAAGAACAGTAACAGAAGCTACACAACTAGCAAAAGACAAGAACAGTAAGAGAAGCTACACAACTAGCAAAAGACAAGAACAGTAACAGAAGCTACACAACTAGCAAAAGACAAGAACAATAACAGAAGCTACACAACTAGCTAAGACCAGAACAGTAACAGAAGCTACACAACTAGCAAAAGACAAGAACAGTAACAGAAGCTACACAACTAGCTAAGACAAGAACAGTAACAGAAGCTACACAACTAGTAAAAGACAAGAACAGTAACAGAAGCTACACAACTAGCTAAGACAAGAACAGTAACAGAAGCTACACAACTAGTAAAAGACAAGAACAGTAACAGAAGCTACACAACTAGCTAAGACAAGAACAGTAACAGAAGCTACACAACTAGCTAAGACAAGAACAGTAACAAGCTACACAACTAGTAAAAGACAAGAACAGTAACAGAAGCTACACAACTAGCTAAGACCAGAACAGTAACAGAAGCTACACAACTAGCAAAAGACAAGAACAGTAACAGAAGCTACACAACTAGCTAAGACAAGAACAGTAACAGAAGCTACACAACTAGCAAAAGATAAGAACAGTAACAGAAGCTACACAACTAGCAAAAGACAAGAACAGTAACAGAAGCTACACAACTAGCTAAGACAGGAACAGTAACAGAAGCTACACAACTAGCTAAGACAAGAACAGTAACCGAAGCTACACAACCAGCAAAAGACAAGAACAGTAACAGAAGCTACACAACTAGCTAAGACAGGAACAGTAACAGAAGCTACACAACTAGTAAAAGACAAGAACAGTAACAGAAGCTACACAACTAGCTAAGACAAGAACAGTAACCGAAGCTACACAACTAGCAAAAGACAAGAACAGTAACAGAAGCTACACAACTAGCTAAGACAGGAACAGTAACAGAAGCTACACAACTAGCAAAAGACAAGAACAGTAACAGAAGCTACACAACTAGCTAAGACAAGAACAGTAACAGAAGCTACACAACTAGTAAAAGACAAGAACAGTAGCAGAAGCTACACAACTAGTAAAAGACAAGAACAGTAACAGAAGCTACACAACTAGCTAAGACAAGAACAGTAACAGAAGCTACACAACTAGCTAAGACAGGAACAGTAACAGAAGCTACACAACTAGCTAAGACAGGAACAGTAACAGAAGCTACACAACTAGCAAAAGACAAGAACAGTAACAGAAGCTACACAACTAGCAAAAGACAAGAACAGTAACAGAAGCTACACAACTAGTAAAAGATCTAATTATTTCGATAACATATTTATTTAATTATAGACCAAGAACACATTCTGACTAAAAATTATCTTTATACAGTCTGTTGCCGTTGTTGCGGAATCAATTGTCCTCTTTTTAATTACATTTTATTATCGCAATATACTCAACAGATGGGCGGGGGCGACCTCAAAAAAGGTTGGAGACTACTGCTTTACGGCACAAGTAGCAAGACAAAAGAAAGCAGCCCTATTGTCTTTTTGTTTGTTAAAGTTAGTCGCATATTCTTAAAGGACGTTGCAGAAGCAGCCCGAGGCAATTATATGATCAGCTGTTTGTTATTGCAACTAATTGAAATCATTATCAAAAAGAACGCAATGCGGTTTGCTAACTAATTAGATGCTGCTAGAATTGAATGGAGCGTCCAAGAATTATGAAGCGACTTCAAAAAGTTAAACCCCAGACGTCGGTATTATGTATGAACTGGATTAAAATACCTGTACACCTGGGTACACCCACAGGTTTTGTTATCTTTATAATACAAGGAAATACTGTCTCTGCGCCCAAATAATTATTGAGGTCAATTTACGCCGTCTGCGGGAATATTAATTTCTGCATGGAGTCACTGCAATGGCTTCAGTAGACCAGTGCCGTGTGCGTCAGTAAACCAATGAGTTGATATCAGTAGACTTCAGTGCCGTGTGTGTCAGTAAACCAATGAGTTGATATCAGTAGACTTCAGTGCCGTGTGTGTCAGTAAACCAATCAGTTGATATCAGTAGACTTCAGTGCCGTGTGTGTCAGTTAACCAATGAGTTTGATATCAGAAGACTGACAATACACACATTGAACACCAAAGGTGTACTGGTGTTGAAACCTGTCTACTCCACAAACAACATTTGTATAAATAGGTTATTGCTTTCAGTCACCTAAGATTGAAGAGTTTTTAACCAATGTGGTAGCTTATATGAATTTCTGTAGTTCCATTATAAAAAGCATTGGACAATACAGCTGAGAACATGATAATAAATAGAGTACGTGTTAGCACACACCCTTGTTTCACACCGTTTTGGGCAGCTGTATTTTGCCATGATCTTCCATAGACTCTCTGATGACTGTAGGCCCTTTAGCCAGGTCAGTAGAAGCCATAAACAATCACACTACTGTTGCAGACATTTTTCTGGCACCTGCCTCTCCGCTAACACCATGTCAATAGTTCCAGGCTCTTTCTGGAATCTTCTCTAGTGTTGTCCACACACAATCTTCACAGCGAGATAACAAAAGCACAAGTAAATATTGACAGGACAGTCATTCAGTGTAGACACGTAACTTTTTTAAAAACCTTTTATTGAGTAATTTGTGTATGCAGACACTGTGTTGTCTGTATTCTTGTATTGTATGTCTGTGATACACGTGTTGCCGTTTGTACGTATTTAGGTGTTGCATTTTAACAACTTTCAAATCATAATATGAACACTATTTACACAAAATTCTTATATACAGCAAAGTCAAAAAGGAATAAAATAACATGTAATAAAACATTCCTAAGTTGGAAAGGAAAAGGGCAGTAAAAAGTGAGAAGGAAAAGGGTTTCTCTTGTTGAAGAAGATATATTGTGCAAAAACATTTTTATAATAATATGTTTTATTGCATTTATATTTACATTATTCTAAAAAAAAGTAAATTATGGAATACATTTGTGACGTTGATTCTGATGAAGATGCGTCTGCTTAGCATTTTTTAATTCTTTCTTTCTGGATAAAAACACTAGGTTATGTTCAAACTATTATTTGATGGAATTTACAAGGTGTGTAATTTAAAATGTGTTTTAAAACTTTTTGACTGTGGGCACAACATTTTTTTAAAAATGTCAAAGTAAAATAGTATTTTCAAATAAAATAAATTCATTTAACGTGATTTGCAACCAGCATACAGCTGATCCGATACTTCATGCCCCAGCTCCATTAGTGCCACACTTATAGCCTGGTTCCGCTGGAAATGACAGCAAACATTATTGTTACTGGCTATATACTGTTGTTACTGTTGTTGTTGTTTATCATTGCATGAAATGAATGTGCTTGCAAAACTCAAATTCTGAAAAAAAGATTAGTGTCCAGAAGCAGATAAACAAATCCATTCATGCCAAATGTGTTCAATTTAAACAGCAGACTGAAAAAAACATGGTATAATTTCTATGGCAATATTATTTCTAGCTTTAAATGTATTATTACATATAATGAAATTGTTAGTTCTATGTGTATGTGCTGATGTGTGTGGGGAATTTGGGTTACCTGTATGTGCTGATGTGTGTGGGGAATTTGGGTTATCTGTATGTGCTGATGTGTGTAGTGAATTTGGTTTATCTGTATGTGCTGATGTGTGTGGGGAATTTGGGTTATCTGTATGTGCTGATGTGTGTGGGGAATTTGGGTTATCTGTATGTGCTGATGTGTGTGGGGAATTTGGGTTATCTATATGTGTCCAGTGAAGCTGTCTAGTTGCCTAAGTACATACATAATGTAAAGTAAAGACCCCTTCTCCACACCTTCAGGCACATTGGGCCAGACCATATTTCATAGTCCCACGTGCACTCGGTGGATGATGTGGTCAATATCACACAGGCCCCTTTTATTCCCAGAACTAAACCAGGTACCCACTCAACGCTAGGAGCCAAAATCATCTTTTTTTGTTCTGCTCCATCAAGTTCTGAACCAGTGACCTTCCGATCTGCAGGTGAGCATTACATACATACATGCATACATACATACATACATGCATACATGCATGCATACATACATACATACAAACATGCATACAAATTGTTGATGAGATAATAAAATCAAACTAAACAAAAATTTTTTACCTTGGCAGTCACTATATGTAAGCTGTGCAGTTCATTAGCAACTTTCTGTAGTTTCCTGATTTTCTGCTGCCTTGAATAATTGTCATCAAGTTGTTTTCTCTTTATCTGCTTAATCTCCTCTTGCAAGACCAATATTTCACTTTTTTGTTTCTCATTCTCACTTTGTGACCGCTCATAGTTTCTCTGCACCTAAAAAAACAAAACAAAACAAAAAAGAGTTACAAGGTATATTACTAATCAAATGTACTTAACGTTAAGCGTCGTTATGATTTCTGGTTCATATGATGTGTGACAGGTCCAACAAACAGACAGGTCCAACAAACAGACAAATCCAACAAATAGACAGGTCCAACAAACAAATAGGTCTAACAAACAGACAGGTCCAACAAACAGACAGTGGCTTACTTTAGTGCTCGTAGAAAATGAAGAGATCTCACAAAGATGCAAAAAACCCAATCAAGATTTAGGCCAAAGGGAACTAATTCAAAAGTGCAAGTATGTGAATATAAACACTAAAAGAACACTGTTCAACACAATATTCTCACCAACGCTCTGTTATCAATGTCAAACATGGACCCTGTCTTTAGGAGGAAAATAGTCACGACAGAAATGAAATGTTTACGTACTATGCCAAGGTGTAATGACGAAAGATCTACCCAGAAACGATGATATCAGGGAAGAGTCAGCATAGAACCAATTTTGAACTTTATTAGTAGAAAACAAATCAAATGGTTTGGCCATGTAACAAGACTGGCAGCAGAGTTGACCACGCAGAAGATGGACCGCAGAAATATGTGCCCGTTCCAGATATCTTTTCCTGCCCTGACGCCGCAAGACATTCCAGAAGTAGAGAAAAGAGGAAGATGACAAAAAGGAAAATGGTGTGAGTTGATTGAGCCATTATGTCCCATTGAGGAATAGAAGGCAAAGAAGAATGATAAAATAGAAAACTGAAAAATCAGTTTAAACAATCATTCAATCATCTTTGTTGCCGCTATGTTGTGAACTTGACTGAAGTATCATCAGATACCATATTATCATTATGTTTTCATTGTGAAACTTGTTTCTAGTACAGATGGTTTTGCTCTCTTCTTTGCACATAACACATCACTGATTGATACACACCCTAACCTGGAGGTCTAGCAAATGCTATTAGTTTACCAATTTGGCAAGAAATAAATGAAAATAATTATTGCTCTTCTTCCAAATTAAATGACTGAAATAAACTGTTGCTAGATTCTGAAAACCAGCATCATTCTAATAAAACATATTCTCAATTAAGATTACGGCCACAACAGACAAATAGGACTACGATTATTTTACCATGAATTGGCAAAGTTTCAACAATCAAAAGTTTTAAAATAAGTTGGCAGAGAGGTAAAACTGCAAACACAAGGGAGGTGAATGGTCACAGACAAGCAGCAGACCAAGAAGAGGATGAAGAGATAACATCCAGGCAGACCAAGGAGACGATGAAGAGATAACATCCAGGCAGACCAAGGAGACGATGAAGAGATAACATCCAGGCAGACCAAGAAGAGGATGAAGAGATAACATCCAGGCAGACCAAGGAGAGGATGAAGAGATAACATCCAGGCAGACCAAGGAGAGGATGAAGAGATAACATCCAGGCAGACCAAGAAGAGGATGAAGAGATAACATCCAGGCAGACCAAGGAGACGATGAAGAGATAACATCCAGGCAGACCAAGGAGAGGATGAAGAGATAACATCCAGGCAGACCAAGGAGACGATGAAGAGATAACATCCAGGCAGACCAAGAAGAGGATGAAGAGATAACATCCAGGCAGACCAAGGAGACGATGAAGAGATAACATCCAGGCAGACCAAGGAGACGATGAAGAGATAACATCCAGGCAGACCAAGAAGAGGATGAAGAGATAACATCCAGGCAGACCAAGGAGACGATGAAGAGATAACATCCAGGCAGACCAAGGAGAGGATGAAGAGATAACATCCAGGCAGACCAAGGAGACGATGAAGAGATAACATCCAGGCAGACCAAGGAGACGATGAAGAGATAACATCCAGGCAGACCAAGGAGACGATGAAGAGATAACATCCAGGCAGACCAAGAAGACGATGAAGAGATAACATCCAGGCAGACCAAGGAGACGATGAAGAGATAACATCCACGCAGACCTACAAACACTTTGTGTCATCAACTGGAAAGAGAAGGGCTCGGAATGCTGAAGAAGAAGAAGAAAGGGACTTAGTTCGAAGAAAAAAAATCATAAAAGCAACATTTTAGGAAAACTGTTATACAACAGCGAGTTTTGGAAGATGACAGCAGCAGGAGAGTTACACATAAACTAGAAACTTTGTGAACACCTGTCTCAGGAGAATCCTTAGAATCTAAGCTAGATGTTGTTAGGGCCCTTTGGAAGCAAGTAAACACTGTGGAGGCACAGATAGATCAAAACGGTCTGAAAAGAATGGCGCTGAGGGAAATTACCAGGGGGTCTGGCCGACGCTCAACACTGGAGGGAGGGGTGAGATGGATATACAATCCAACAGTTACTGGTACGATCAGAACTGGAACGTTTGAGGCAGAAGATGGAGAAGGAGTGCTTGGGGGGGGGGGGGGGTGTCCCAAGTGCTGTGTCGATTCATCAATTCAATATTCAATATGCTTAGGGGGTGTCCCCCAAAGAGCTGTGCTGATTCATAATTCAATATAAGTAGAATCCTGCAAATAAACGAAGACTTTAGGGGGAACAACAAAATGTTCATCACTGACAAAGGTTATCAAAATAAGAAGATGAAGATGACTTGGACATGTTTGCAGAATGCCTCATGACACTTTAGCCAGGACAGCTGCCCAGTGGATGGCAGATGGAATGGAAACCTGGAGAAGTACAATTAAAAAAAAATTCATGAAGGAATATAAAATGACATGGAATACTATGGGACGAAAGGCAGCAGACCATATAGTAAGAATGCAGTCAGACCAAATTCTAAATGACACCTTCTACAGCAGAACATCAGGGCAGAAGACGAGAGGAAGACAAAGGACGATATGGATAGACAGTGAAGCCGAATCATACAAAAAAGATTAATAAAACTATCACTCAAACCATCCAAGAAGCACAAGACAAATTCCAAAACCACAACACTGAGCTACAACCAGGTAACAGCGTGATAACAACAACAACAAAAAGAAGACATGCTTACCAGGTCGTTTTGTAACTCTGCCTTCTCTAACTCTCTTTTAAGCAGCTTCACAGTCTCCTCTTGGTGGGAAAGCTTTAAACGAAGTACTTCAAGTTCCTTATCTCTTTGCTGCATCATTTCTATAAGGAGAGAAGACATATATAATAATAGAGAAGTTTAAAAAAAATATGTCAAATCAGAGAAGAAATATAGCAAACTTAAGAAAAAGCACCTACAAAATATAAACACTAAATACGCTGTGTGTGGGAGTCGCCGTGGATCGGAAGGCCGTGGGTTCACTCCCATTCGGAGCCAGACTTTTTTCAAAAATGACCTTGGCTTCCAGGTTGACCCAGGATTGAGTGGGTACCGGGTGCAGTCCCGGGAAGTAAAGGCGACCGGCGTGATAATGACCACATCACCCATCTTGTGCCGATTGGCCCTATACGCCTAAAGGCCTGGAAAAGGGTCCTTAAAATATTTTTATTTTACTCACAATGTGTTTGTATGTGTCTGTGTGTGGGCATATATGAAAGTCCCTGCCTGACCAAGAAGCTGCTAAATGCTGAATGATTGTATGAAAGACACTAACAATTCTGACTGACTGTGTGAAAGACACTAACAATTCTGATTGACTGTGTGAAAGACACTAAGAATTCTGATTGACTGTGTGAAAGACACTTAAAATGCTGACTGACTGTGTGAAAGACACTAACAATTCTGACTGACTGTATGAAAGACACTAACAATGCTGACTGATTGTATGAAAGACACTTAAAATGCTGACTGATTGTATGAAAGACACTAACAATTCTGACTGATTGTATGAAAGACACTAATAATTCTGTGCCAAAAGTGTGAGTGGTCATGATTTACCAAATTACACCATCACAAAACAAGTTTGTGTGTTTGCCCCAGTTAAGGAAAGTGGCCCAGGCATCTTGGCATTTACCACTTTGTCTACACCTTGCTGTGAAGCAGTGTAATGGTTTTTTGCCTGACTGCTAGTCTGGAGGTCTTCGGTTTGAATTCAGAGTGGGGAGGATTTTATAACTGACCTGGGTTCCCAGTCAACCTAGGGGGTACTGAGAAAATGTCCTGGGAAATAAAGGTGGCCAGCATGATGCTGATTGCATTCATTAAGTAACAAGAGGTCTACATCTGTGCATCCAGCACCATATATAAAGGAGGTGTCAAATATGTGGAAAAGATCCTTTACTTCACCCGTTTTAACCCACCCCTGCTCTTCTTGTTCATAAAGTTTTCAAGTTGTTACTACAGATTCGATTCCTCATGACGAAAATCTGAACCATCCACATCTAATTTCTGTAACAAATATACAGTTTTCATGTTTCCTGAAGGACTGTCTCATTCATTATTCTATCTAATCCATAATATTTGTTTAAACATCTTAAATGTGAATTCAGAAACCACATTTAAGCTTGTGTACTGATTGTTCAGGCCTCACTGTACGCAAAGTATAGGTTATATATAATAGTGTAACACTTCTCTCCTGCCACCTGCATATTAATGAATGTTTTCAATTTCCAACAAATGCAGGTAATCAGTTTTTTAATACATTTAAAAAATGCATAAAAACATACATAAAACAATTACCCGTAGCCTTCTGTATCTTTGTATGTGCATCTGCAAGTTCCTGCCTCAGTTGGTTTTTTTTCCTTGATGGTGTTGCTTTACAGCTGCCAACCAATTGGGAAACTAAAGACAAAAAGAAGAAAGATTATCATTCCAGTGTTTTTACAAGAGTTTTATGTCTCTTAATTTAACCAGAATATTTCACATCACTTTATTTTTTTTAAACAGCCCTCCCTTTTCAATCACAGCCTTTCTATATATAACCTCAAAATTTAATTGTTTGTTTTCATGAAATAAGACTTCTCTTTCGTCTTCTTCTTCACCTCCTTGACCCCATTTTGGTTATATAATTACTTGTTCATTACCCATAATTCTGCAGCACTGAGTACACATAACATCTCACAATTATCATTTTTAATGTTTTCTTTATCTTTCAAAATGCTCATAATCTTCTCATATTGCTACATTCTCTCGACTATCCCTGCCCCTCCCTCCCCTTTTTTTGGTTTAAATTTTGTTTTAGGTATTACTTGGTCAACAACAAAAAAAGAGAAGAAGAAATGTATCATATCAGACTTTGCTTGTCAAATAAAAATGTAGCATATCAGCCAGTACCTCCCACTTGTGTCAAGCCAATCAGCCCATCAGCAATCAATGTCAAACTTGTCAGTATATTTTCAAAGCTCCGCTTGTCAGTCAGCATATTGTCAGTATCCATCTTGTCAGTCATTATACTGTCAGTATCCATCTTGTCAGTCATTATACTGTCAGTCCCCATCTTGTCAGTCAGTATACAGTCAGTACCCATCTTGTCAGTCAGTATACAGTCAGTACCCATCTTGTCAGTCAGTATACTGTCAGTACCCATCTTGTCAGTCAGTATACTGTCAGAACCCATCTTGTCAGTCAGTATACTGTCAGTACCCATTTTGTCAGTCAGTATATTGTCAGTCTTCAGCACAAATATTACCTCTCTGACGCTTGCTACGCCGCAAACTCTTAGAGCTTGAGAGGTCCTCTTCTTTGACAGGTTGTCTGGTAGAATTTTCTTCTAACCAACTTTCCTGTTCAACGAGGCATTCCTGGTACAAGACAAGAGGATTCTGGGTAATGAAGTAATCTTTGCTATATTTTGTTTTTATTAATTCATTACCCAATCATGTCACTCTAACTCTAAGACACTTTTGTACTGCAATAAATCTGTTTCCTGAAATGTTCATGTAGGTTTTGGTATTTCAAAGATGTAGACTGAAATAAAAATGCCATCTACTAACTTCTCAACCATTCATACTCTAAATCCTTTAACAATTGTCCCCTACAATAGAATTACAATATAATTAATGGCGCCTGGCCGCTTTATATTCGCAAACATAACAGTGGTGAAGATGGCACAGAATGTTTGGTCAGTTGCAACAGTGAAAATTCAGTCACTAGTTATCACAAACTTTGGTAAACACAAACTGTTTTTCGGTCCTATGGATTTCATGTTAATGAATAATATAAAGCTGGAACACATTACCGTATCTTCCTGACAATAAGACCTAAGCTGGAAAAAAGCCCCAGCATTATTTTTTAAAGGTGCTCATAATATAAGCCCTAGTTAGGACTACCAGCCAAGATAGACACTTCCTGTTTGTTCGCTGACGTGCAATGGACATTTTGAATTATACAGCAATTAATATATTAATAAACTGTCATTTAAACTAACAATTACATATATTTAGCTCAAATTAAAAAAAATAATGCATAATTAACAAATGGATCGTTTAATTATCCAATGGATCGTTTAATTATCCAATGGATCGTTTTGTAAATGAAATTTCGTACTAGAGCAGACTCAGATGCTGCTTTCAGTGTCAAATGGACATTTTAGCATGAACGATGAGTTTTCAAAGACCAACCCCACGTCCTCGTCGTTGAGAGGTGGTAACAGGACAAAGTAGGGGATTGCTAGGTGTGAGCGAAGTATGGTGTGGCCTCGTGCCACGGGGCCGCTACGGTAGCCATGAAGGCCACCCTGGGTCACCCCGAAACGTCCTGGCCAACGGGGCTCTGGTGAAGTTGCGACAGGCCTAGCAAGCCGGCAATGGATTTTTTACCGCTACAAAAATCAAAATGAGATGCAACAACATCTAACATCCATGAATGAAGAATGTAAAACAAATAATATGAAAATCAACACTGAAAAGACAGAAGTAATGTCAATAGGAAAAAAGAAGACAGATCTAAACATAACAATAGAATACAAAAGCATTAAACAGGCATCTGAGTTTAACATACCACTGTTGGTAGAGGCACAGTGGTAGTCTTATGCAAGTACCGTTGTATGTAAGTACACAGTAGTAGTCTAATGCATGTAGTTGTAAGTAGCTAAAAAGAGGTAGTCTCATGCACGTACAGTTGTATAAAGCTAAACTGAAGTATTCTCATGCACATACAGTTGTATGCAGGTACACAGAGGTAGTCTCATGCACGTACAGTTGTATAAAGGTAAAATGAAGTAGCCTCATGCATGTACAGTTGTATGTAGGTACACAGAGGTAGTCTCATGCACGTACAGTTGAATAAAGGTAAAATGAAGTAGCCTCATGCATGTACAGTTGTATGCAGGTACACAGAGGTAGTCTCATGCACATACAGTTGTATGTAGGTACACAGAGGTAGTCTCATGCACGTACAGTTGTATGTAGGTACACAGAGGTAGTCTCATGCACGTACAGTTGTATAAAGGTACACAGAGGTAGTCTCATGCACATACAGTTGTATGCAGGTACACAAAGGTAGTCTCATGCACGTACAGTTGTATGTAGGTACACAGAGGTAGTCTCATGCACGTACAGTTGTATAAAGGTAAACTAAAGTAGCCTCATGCACATACACTTGTATGTAGGTACACAGAGGTAGTCTCATGCAGGTACAGTTGTATGCAGGTACATAGAGGTAGTCTCATGCACGTACAGTTGTAAAAAGGTAAACTAAAGTAGTTTCATGCACGTACAGTTGTAAAAAGGTAAACTAAAGTAGTCTCATGCACGTACAGTTGTAAAAAGGTAAACTAAAGTAGCCTGATGCACATACAGTTGTATACAGGTACACAGAGGTAGTCTTATGCACGTACAGTTGTATAAAGGTAAACTGAAGTAGCCTCATGCACATACAGTTGTATGCAGGTACACAGAGGTAGTCTCATACACCTACAGTTGTATGTAGGTACACAGAGGTAGTCTCATACACGTACAGTTGTATAAAGGAGCCTCATGCACATACAGTTGTATGTAGGTACACAGAGGTAGCCTCATGCACGAACAGTTGTATATAGGTCAACTAAAGTAGCCTCATGCATATACAGTTGTATGCAGGTACACAGAGGTAGTCTCATGTACGTACAGTTGTATGTAGGTACACAGAGGTAGTCTCATGCACGTACAGTTGTATAAAGGTAAACTGAAGTAGCCTCATGCACATACAGTTGTATGTAGGTACACAGAGGTAGTCTCGGAGCAGCTACTGCTGTTAGGATGTGAAGTGTTTGACCTTTAAATATTTGTATGACCACAACGTAAGATTGGTCTGGAAAATAAATTATTCTGCTTCATCAAGAAGTTAAAGCATTTCAGGTGTGGCTTTAAAAAAAATGCAGAATATCAGACATTACTTCTCAAATATTGCATTTGACAGAGTCGACAGACAATTATTATGGAAAATAATGGCAAGATATGGAGTAAGCGAACACCTCATCGAAGTGTACAAAAGTTTATACAGGGATTGTAGAAGTGTAGTTAGAATAAATCAGGGAACATCTCATCCTTTCACAGTGACATCTGGAGTAAGACAGGGGTGTGTCTTATCACCACTGCTGTTTATCACCTACATCGACAGTATATGCAAGAATGCCAAGCCCATGAATGAAGATCTTAGTAAGATCAACGAATTACTCTTTGCAGATGACCAGGCCTTGATAGCAGATGCAGCCATGAATGAAGAATGTAAAACAAATAATATGAGAATCAACACTGAAAAGACAGAAGTAATGTCAATAGGAAAAAAGAAGACAGATCTAAACATAGCAATAGAATACAAAGGCATTAAACAGGCATCTGAGTTTAAATATCTGGGAACTACATTTACCGAAGATGGGAAATTGGATAAAGAAATTGACATTAGATGCAGTAAAGCAAACCAAGTATTGGGACAGCTAGCCCCCCTCTTACAGCATAAGACAATCCCAGTCAGCACAAAGAGACATCTTATTCAAAGCATATTTATTCCAACTCTGTGCTACCAGTGCCAGACATGGTCACTCACAAACCATAACAGAAAATTAGTAACCACAGAAATGAGATGTCTGAGAAGGGCTGTAGGAGTGACCATAAGAGATAAGATCAGAAATGAAATCATAAGAGAACAAGTCCCAATTCTGGATTACATACAAAGACAGCAAGTGAAATGGTTTGCCCCCTTAGAGAGAATGCCTTGTGACACCATACCATACAAAGCATACATGGGAAGAGAAGAAAGACGTAGAGCACGGGGTAGACCAAGAACAAGATGGAAGGATAACATCAGAGAAACTCTACAACAGCACGATGTGCCTATGGCCGAGGCAGCCAGAAGAGCTAGAAACAGAACCTTATATCTCCCTCGACACCCACAGCGGTAAAAGAGGAAGTGAAGAAGAAGAAGAAGAAGATGAGTTTTTGTAATCTTCACAATCAAGTGGTAAATGCTAGTGATCTCCTTGTGAGATAAAATTGTCGTTATTTGAAACCCTATTCTGGCTCTTGCCAGGGCCGCAATATAGCCCGGCCATAATTATGGCCTAATGGTTGAACGCGGTTTCCGGGGCCTCTCCACGGTGATCCTCATCCACAAGGTGGCACTTTGTGTCATCGGGTGTTTGGCGCTTGTTTGATGTCCTTGTAGGGTAAAATCTACTGCTACTACTGCCCAGTGGTAAATTGTGTTTATGGTCCTATTCTGTTAGTATAACTTATGATGTGGCAAGAAGAAGCAAAAAAACATTTTGGGGCGGAATCCTATTATTTGAATATGGAAGTTGAAACATTATATCACAATGTGTTGTATAATATTTATTGTTTATGACTTTTGGTTCACTAAGGTGGTGATGATGTTACAAGTGACAACTTTTCTATAATAATCTGTTTTTATACTCAAAACTATATATATTTACTTACAAGTAATGAGTAAAGGTTTAATTCAAAAACATTTCACCAACAGCAAACTAATTCCTCTATTAAATACAGTATCATTGTTCCTTAATTGGTAGAATTGTACAGACAACAGTGATGCAAACAAATGAGGCTTACCGGTCTTAGACACAATTGTGCTTTCCTCAAGAAGGTAGAGCCCTGTCATTTAAACATATTTTTAACAAACACTTCAAGAGAGAAAATATTATCAGCACTAGTGCCGAGACTGTAATTGATATCTGCCTCTATGTTTATACTACCAGTATGTAAATAACTTATATGTACCTTCACAGAGTCATGGTCTTCCTCCTGCTCTTTCAAGATCTGTTCGACTGCTGCCCCTGAACTGCCTTCCACTTTATGAGATAGATCTGATGGAAGGGATCCATACAATTTGTATGTATTCACATATTTCTAGTGTCATATGCTACGATATTTAACGAAGTATACCTTTATTTAAGAAGGTGATAAACTGTTTTATAAGTCATATAATAGTTCCAACACTGAGGTGACACAGTTTACAGGGGACTGGAGTATCAGAGATAAAAAAAAATTTGCCATTATAAAATGAGAACCAGTCACTTATTTCTTAAAGGTGAGAGGATTGACTTTATTAGACCTGGTTTTTATCCTATATGACATAGTCTATCTCCCCATAATGGCTAGACACCTGCCGACAGCGCGGCGCAGAGCACAAACTCCATAGCTCCGATGATGACCCCCAGGGATCTCCATAAACATTGCAGCCGTGAACTGAACGGCTGCGCACTGAAATGATCCCATGACCTCCAGAGTGCAAAGCAAATGGCTTGACCGCTTCGCCTCTATTACACATTATGAGACAGGTAGACTGGGAAAAGTTTATGCAGCGT